ATATATATATATATATATATATTTTAAATATTTAGATAATATATCAAAATTGTTTCAATTATAAGTTTATTATTATGGTTTTATCTTTAAAATAGTTTTAGAATGCTTATAAAATATTATTATTTATCTTGACTTTTAAGTGATGTAAAACTTTTAGTCATATTAGAACAAGTTCTCTAATATTATCAATTTTGATATTTGTTTGATAGTCATAGTTTTAATTTTGAAAGTGTGTCATAATACTTATAAATTATTATTGGTCTTAATTCTTAAGTGATATAAAATTTTTAAACATCAGAACCAATTTCCCAATCAACACATTTGAAATATTGTCTACTTTAAAATTCGTTGGACCGTCACAATTTTGTTCTTGAAAAGACAACTTGATGAATTAAAGAAGAAAATTGTTTATAAATTACCATTAACCTAGACTCTTAATGATGTGAAATTTTTAAGTAAGCTAAATTAAAATTAAAATAAAAAAATTATGCCCAAAAGAAATAAGATATTTTATACCATATTTATATGATCTCATTTATTTTTAAACAATAACAGAATTATAAAAGTTACTTGTTAAGGAATTTTTGTATTTGATTTTATCTTATTGTTTTATATTTATTTTAAGGAAAAATATATATTTAATTTCTATTCTACTCAAATTTGGTTAAATCAGTGAGTGTTGGATTACATACTTTTGAAATAAATGAAATATAGTAACATAAATAAGGTTGGTGAATTTGGAGGATGGATAAAAATGGTGATCCACAAAAACTTAGAAAAGTTGTGAAATATTTCCTTATAATTTATAATATCTCTCTTGATTGTTTAAATATTTTATAAACTTGCTAAATAAAAACAATCATATTTAATAAGTTAAAAATATAAAAATTATTTGGTATTGTTTAATAGATAAGAAAATTAGTAAGATGGTACCATAAAAAAAATATAATTTTTCAAACAAAAAAATATAATTTTAATAGTTTTTAATAATTATCTTAATACTTTAAAATGCGAAATCAAACATTTAAATATATAAAGAATGTTTGATATTTTATATTTAATAATAAGGAAAAAAAAAGATTGTAACAGGATATACTTTATATTCTATTTTAAAATTAGACTTAAAAACTATTTGTATTCCTTCATCTTAATTTTTAGCTTTAGTTTATTATTTATTTTTTTTACTGTGGTCCCTTGAAATGCTCTCATTAAACTAAATCGGCCATTCTTTCAATTTATAATTTAATAACACGTGATAAATTGTTAGAGATGTTGTAACATAGAAATTAGTAGAACTAATTTAATCTTTCACAGATTTAAAAGGTATCATAATACTTTTGAAACTAAATGTTAGAAAAAGTCTTAAAAAGGTTAATTTTGAAATAGGAAAAATCTAAAAAAGGTAAATAGTTTAAAAATAAATTGAGTAATCCATTGAGGACACGAGTTGCAGCTGGGTTGGATGCTCTCTCTCTTCGTTGGGAATTCCGTCATGTCATCCATTTGTTATCATAATTATTTGTCGCTGTCTTGAATTTAATTTGATAATCCAAGAAAAGTTAGAGTCATAAAAATATAACATTTTTAATCGATGAAGAATAAATAAGTGAAACATCCAGAACTTAGGACCTATCGAGAGTATATGCTGCTCGTCGACAAAAAGGTTCCATTCCATTTTCTAACTAGTAAAATGTGGTCTTAGATTTTTATTTTTATTTTTTAATTTAAGTTTAACCTGATCAAAATTAATAAATCATGGGCAAGGTTTTTTTCTTTTTTTTAAGAGAATTATGGAGAAGACTTGATCAGCCCGTTCTATTATTCTATTATATTATTTTAATAATATATATATATATATATATAGTTAAAA